TATAGGATATAGATTATAGTCTGTGGAACTTCTAAACAACATGCTCAAGCACTGCCAGCGGGTGAGAGCAAAATTTTGACGGGACGCGGGGCACTTCACAAAGCAGCTAACACGCTACTAACGGCCCACGTTCCCTCGAGAGACGGGGATGTACTGCAGCATCAACAACCGAGGGTACGTACCGCTGACCAGACGTCCACTCTGAGGAATGCGTCTCTTTCTTTTTTCATTCAATTTTCGTCCTATTTATTATGGTGACCGTAATTTTTCGTGCCCCCACCAATTTAATTAGTCATTCGCCCGACTAGGCGTAGAGCGGGGTGTGGCAATGAAAAGTAATATAACTCATGTGTGTGACCTTCCTCCTGGCTGAGTAACCCCGGCTGATAGGTTAACCTTGCAAGCACACCGTGAGGTGTGTACGCCGGCAACAGCGGAGTGGGAGGAGAATACACACCCACCCACACACACACGGCCTTGGTAGACGCGTGCGTGCAGTTTTCTTCTGTTGCTAACCTGTTGAAAATTTTCTGTCTTTCATCTGGAGAATAGCTTAGTCTTCCCCCTGCCTCCCCTTCATGGAGTCCCAGTTAGTGGTATTTAGAAGTGTTTCGCGTTTTCAACCGCACTGAGACTGACGTCCTTTCATTGGTCAGTCGGTATCACGGCGGTCGATGCTATTTACAAAGACGCACACACACACACACACATCACGCCCCCTCGCGGGGTCTAAATAATGGTCTGTACAACAAGCGGTTTCTGACTGCCAGACTGACGTGTTTTCACTAGTCAGCAGGTTCGGTAATCGCGGTCGACGCTTAAAAACATACAGATAAGAGACAAACACACAATGCCCATGAGTGTTCTCACACGGACAATAGTAGGGCGCTTTTTCCCGACGGGCCCGGGAAGTAATAGGAACAGTGAATGCAACAAGAGATGGCATCAATAAAGCAGTGGGGCCTCACGGGGGTCAGGTGGGGACGTTGGGGATCGATCTTGTTTCGGGGCTTGTTGCATACGTCGGAGCGCCAGATACAACCTGCTTTGGCAACCCGTGTTTTAGTGATGAACACAAGAGAGAGAATATTCACAAGCACGGCAGCGGGGAGCTCTAGCGACTGCAAGGAGACAAGAGAGGATTCGCAACGCAAGGAAGGGGATTCTGGAGTGAAAGCAAGCAGAGAGAGGACGAACTACCAGAGGGGAAAGGGGGGATCTCTAGTCAACGGGAGAGAGAGAGAGAGAGAGCGAGAGAGAGATGATTCACAAGGTAACGCCGGAGGTGACACGCGCAATACGAGTCGAGGCTCATAGGGAATGCGAACCTCAAAAAAGTGAACGAAAAGAATTGGCACAAGATCCAGACTTCCCTACCGCGATATGTGGAATCTATGTCTCCGGGCATGCGAACCTCTAAAAGTTAAGGCAAGGAAAACAGGAGTTTCAGAACGCAACAAAGACTTCCCCACCGCGATATTATGTGGAACCTGTCTCTCACTTGAGTTGATGCCTCCGATGCTTGAGGTCGTGTTGGTCTCTGTCCCCACACTTCTCGTCGTCGTGGTGTTGGCCGCCGCAGCCGACCGCACGCCCCCCGCCACGAGCGTAAGCAGCAGCACGACCTTGCCTCCGAAGCGGAGGCTGCCGCCGCCATCACAACGGACAGACAGACGGTACAAAAAGTGCAGGAGGAAACGGTGACGTCAGCAGCAGCTTTATCATCGTAGGTGAGGGGTGGTTATTTTTCGTGATACCCATTCACCATGCACCACGTGCACGCGGTGTTACCCTGGCTGGTTGCCTCGTCGTTCAGGGTGGTCGTCAGGGGACCCCTAACCCGGCCGGCGTGCACTCATGAAAACCCTTGCCGCCTCAGCACCACCATTATGACACAGAGCAACGGCAAGTGCAGCAGGCAAAACAGCCTGTTTCTGGTAGGTCCGAGCTGTGTAGCTCTCCAACACCTCAAGAACGTACTTGGATCTACATTTTTTGTTTCTAGCGCCGCCGTTACCTCGAAAGTTGGCAGCAAATAACTACTTCTGTACATGCTTCAAGTGTACCATATCAGACACGAGAACCTGAGCACCATCAGGTGTGACCCCCGTTAAGAATCTCCTCACCGAAAGCCTATGCCCTCCTGTCAACAAGAACCCCACGAAAAACCTTTACAGCGGACCACTTGTGGTCAACACAAAGGAACGATGGACCCCAGCCACACGGCTAATACCAGAGCTCCTTACCGTACACGACACAAGATAACACACCCCCTGGACCGATTTTCAAAGCTCGATTACTCCACGGCGAAGAAGATGCATAAACGCTAGGATACGTTTGTTTTCGGAGAGCTCTTGATCGAACTATCTTCAACGCCGGCGTTTTCGGCGCCGCGATACTTTCTGCGGTTGACATCAAGAGCTGTGAAAATCGGCCCGGGGGGTGTGTTATCTTGTGTCAGATACGGTAACCGCCGGTGCGAACCCTGTATTTACACCTTGCAGCCGGAACATCGAAAATGTCCACCACACAAATATTATGGCGTTGTTCACGATAATGACGGTACGCCCGCACCTGGCGCAACCGATCAACACCGAGGCCGTGGCGGTGTCCGCGATGTGGGCGTGCAGCTGCTCCAAGCCCTGCGTTTGTTTTCATTTCCAGGCAGGGCGGTATGCGAAACGGGAGTGGAGGAACGGCAGAAAGAAGGATGACAATGTTGTGCAAATCCAAATCAAGCTGGTGCAATCATTGCATGCCAACATACACACACACACGTCCGACTCCACTAACAACAGGAGGGGTGGGCTCGGATTGTGGGCGGATATGCTCCCCCCCGCACTCTCCCAACAGCGCCTCGGGTGGTGTCACACACACACACACAGGCGTATTATGCGAATGACAGCCGGCCAAACGCAATACTAGAGTAATCGTCCATGGCAAGGAAACGAAGAAACTCTCTTCCAGTGGAAAAGCAGGCTTGTGGACCCCAACCCTTTGTCAAAACCGCCATTCTACAGGCAAACTTTCAGTGGGCTTGTGCAGCCCCCCCGACCCTTTGTCAAAACCGCCAATCCACAGGCAAAATATTCCAAATGAAAGCCAACCTATCGCGCAACAAGAGGCGTCGTCCATGGCAGCACAACAGGCAAGAACGGCGGCGAAAACATACCCAACCCCCGAATGCCTTGGCTTGCGGGGGGTAGGTTTTCTGTGCCTATTCGAGACTATACAGCAGTACGGCAAGTGACTGAGGTCGAAGTCACCAAACAGGCTCACGGCTCCCACAAGCTGCCAGCATGAACACGATAACATCAAACTCTTTGGTTACCTTTCAACCAGCCGTGATGCACTTTTTCTTGATCGACAACCCCAAGGCCGGGATGCCTGCACACACACACACGAGTAACCCAACTCTTATGTCGTCCGTTGTGCCCTGCCTCACCTTTTGAGTGAACAACCCTCGGACAATCATAGACGGGGGTAGATTATTTCTGTGCCAATATCGACACGACTACGCCGCGTGGCTGGGATCGAAGTCATCGACACGGGTTGTGGCTGCGCAAGCCGCCGCCGCCGCCGCCGCCGCCTGGACACAAGCAAACATCAAACTCCTTGCCGTCGGCTATGCCGTCCATTTTACCCTGGCCAACAACCCCGGAAAACGTTGCCAGCACATACACGAAAAGGCACCTAAATCGTTGCGGTTCGTTGTGCCGTTCCAATCTACCGTTGTCCTGGTTCCCCTGGCCAACAAACACTTACCGTATATGACACAAGAGAACACACCCCCTTGACCAACTTTCGGAGCTCGATTTTTCAACTGCAGGAACAGCCACAGCGCCGAAAACGCCGGCGATGAAACCGTCTCGTTGAGAGCTTTTCGAAAATGTATCGTTCCGTTCATGCATCCTCTTCGTCGTGGAGAAATCGAGCTTTGAAAATCGGTCCAGGGGGTGTGTTATCTTGTGTCATATTCGGTAAATAGCTCCCTGCACACTAGACTTCAAACTCCTTGGTGTCTTATCTCCCGGTGTGCAATTCATCTTGGTCAACAACCCCCCACAAAGGTGCCAGCACCGGAGAAAGAATCCAACTCTTTGCCGATCCTTACCTTGGTCAGCAACCGTCGGACAACGCCGCCGCCGCGGGTGGAGGCCTTGGCCATGCCTAGGAGCTTGCGGCCGCTAGTCCTGGGACGGAACCTCTCGAAGGCTCTCATCCAGTCGGGCGGGTGCTGGTGCTGGTGGTGCTCCATCTGAAGCGGCAGCCGAATTTTTTAGCAAAAAAACAGATCATCGTCACCGCCACAGGATACCACACCCACGCACGTGGACAGCAGAAGGAGGAGGGGGAGGAGGAGGAGGACAGACAGCAAGCAGGCTCAGCGTGGCCGTAGCGGAGGTGGCGATGGTGGTGGTATCGGCACCTCAAACCGGTATCCTGTGCGTGATAGGTGGTGATGGTGGCAGTGGCATGTAGTCGGTGTGCGGCAAGCATCATCGCTATCGCTCTCACGTACTTCATCACAACAACGTCATGCTACTCTACAACAAAAACACACAGTGTGACACACACAAACACACACATCACGTTCACATAATTTTCTCGTGGTTGCCATTGACGAACACTGTAGCCGAGTCGATAGAAAATAAAACAACGCCCCTCACCCTTGTGTCGGCATCCCCCGTAGCGAAGAACGCCTCGTCCTTCTCCAAGCCCTTCGTCGAATCCACGGAGGAGGTGCCGCCACCCAGGGGTGCAACGAACGCCCCGCCGTTTCCGCTGAACTCGTCCGTGCTGGTCATGGTCGTCTCGACGTCGGCCCAGCCACCGCCGCCTTCCTGGAGGAGTTCAACTCCCTGTTGATCAGGAGGCCGGGGGGGGTAGGGGAGAGAGGGGGGGGGAGGGGTTGTATTGGCGCGATCGCGACATTAATGGGTTTTATGATGAAGTAGAACAGGGAAGGGGGGGTACGCAGACCCTATCCCTANGTGTGACACACACAAACACACACATCACGTTCACATAATTTTCTCGTGGTTGCCATTGACGAACACTGTAGCCGAGTCGATAGAAAATAAAACAACGCCCCTCACCCTTGTGTCGGCATCCCCCGTAGCGAAGAACGCCTCGTCCTTCTCCAAGCCCTTCGTCGAATCCACGGAGGAGGTGCCGCCACCCAGGGGTGCAACNCGCTCTCACGTACTTCATCACAACAACGTCATGCTACTCTACAACAAAAACACACACACACAAACACACACATCACGTTCACATAATTTTCTCGTGGTTGCCATTGACGAACATTGTAGCCAAGTCGATAGAAAATAAAACAACGCCCCTCACCCTTGTGTCGGCATCCCCCGTAGCGAAGAACGCCTCGTCCTTCTCCAAGCCCTTCGTCGAATCCACGGAGGAGGTGCCGCCACCCAGGGGTGCAACGAACGCCCCGCCGTTTCCGCTGAACTCGTCCGTGCTGGTCATGGTCGTCTCGACGTCGGCCCAGCCACCGCCGCCTTCCTGGAGGAGTTCAACTCCCTGTTGATCAGGAGGCCCGGGGGGGTAGGGGAGAGAGGGGGGGGGAGGGGTTGTATTGGCGCGATCGCGACATTAATGGGTTTATGATGAAGTAGAACAGGGAAGGGGGGGTACGCAGACCCTATCCCTAACCCAAACTTCCCCGAACTGCATGATGTCAAGTATCCAACACGTTCACGATCGCGACATTAATAGGTTTATGATGAAGTAGAACAGGGAAGGGGGGGTACGCAGACCCTATTCCTATCCCAAACTTCCCCGAACTGCATGCTGTCAAGTATCCAACACGTTCACGATCGCGACATAAATAGGTTTATGATGAAGTAGAACAGGGAAGGGGGAGTACGCAGACCCTATTCCTATCCCAAACTTCCCCGAACTGCATGCTGTCAAGTATCCAACACGTTCACGATCGCGACATAAATAGGTTTATGATGAAGTAGAACAGGGAAGGGGGGGTACGCAGACCCTATTCCTATCCCAAACTTCCCCGAACTGCATGCTGTCAAGTATCCAACACGTTCACATAAGAGTGACCGGCGAAGGCTACTGGTTGTATTGTAACACGTGGTTTGGCACCCCTTCAAAATAGCGTTTAGACGATTGACCTCGCATCCCTGCAATGCCTGGACGTAGCGACGGAGGGGAGGCGGGACTCATGTGAATGTATGCCGTAGACCTTAGTACATTGACCAATTTACCACAGTGGCGACGATCCGCGGGGGGAGTACTCATGTTTTGCATGCCTTAGCGGTTACACCCGTGACCACGCGTCCTCCTCAAAGAGGACGGAGCATTAATTACCGTGATCATCGGGGTCTTGGCGCATATCGGGGTCTTGGCGTGTGCGGTGAGGTTTGGCTGTAAGTGATACCCTTTCACCAGCTGGAAATTCCGGATACTGTGGGAGCTTGAATCGCGTGCTCCACTGCTACTGCTGCCCTTGGCACCATGACGATGTTCAAAAATGTGGTATTTGTACTCTTTGTTTTCTTCTTTTCGTTCTGAAGAATCAAGATCGGCAAATCGGCAAACGGTTCTAAACGCAGATGAAACCAAAAACGAAGTAAAAAATCATACCAAAGTACCACTACGAGCTACCAACGTCCTACTACTGTACTTCCTAGGCGGGTTGAACTCTACTTCGTGCCCGCGCCCCTACCATGGCAAAAACATCCAATCTCACTGGCAATCCCCAAGAACTATGATTCAAAGTTCGACTACTTCTCCTTCGGCGCCCCCGCCCCCCTGCCCCTCCACGATTTCCACGTCGCTGTCGCCCTCCAAGACCTCCACCTCGCTGTCGCTCTCATCAGCGACGTAGGGCAGCAGCTTCCCCTCGACCTCCTTCTGAGCAGCCGTGATGGGGTTGGAGTCGTACCCCCCTGGTACCTTCGGTAGCTTGAGCGGCGGGAGAGTCACGTCGGGGTGCTCAGCGAGCCACACCGCGTGCTGCTCATCGAGAAGGTCGCGGTAGTCTTCCCCGAGGTTGTGCTCGCACCAGGCGTGGTCTTCGCTGCCGTCGAGCGCGAGCGTGAGA